CCTCCCGCCCCCGGCCTCCACCGTGCCGTCCTGCACCGTCCTCAGCGGGAGGTGTGCCAGCCTCTTGCCCACCCGACGCCCTACCCCTCGCTGGTGGGGAGCACCCACGTGCCCACACAGGTTTGGGGGCGGCCTCTCTCTGGTGTTCCTCGCATCTCAGCACGTTCCTGGCTGGCTGTCATAGGCCCTGAGGCCCCTGCTCCAAGGCGCTGAGAATTAGAGCTTGTTCTGGGCAGGAGCAGGAAAGAGCCTTCTAGGTCACCGGTGAGGCTTCCCTCCCTCTGTCCCTTTTGACGTTCCTCACCAGCTCCAGCTCCCCAAACTTTGTTCTGCCAGACGCTTCCGTCCACGTGGAGGCGAGATGGTGTGGGGGGTCATAGGGGAGGTCAGAGGGGGTGTCAGAGGGGACAAGGACGGAGGGAGGAAGAGAGGGAGCCCTTGTGGGGTCCCCGCTTGAGTGAAAAGACACCGCCCTCCTGGTCGCCCTCCAGCCTCTAAGTGTCAGCCTGCTGGGCCCCAGAGGAGCCTGCATGCCAGTCGTTACGTTTCAGTGTTTTATCCATCCTGCCTCCCTGCATTTGTGCTGGTCCCCTTAGTTGGGAAGCTGCTTCCCCTCCCCGCCACCCACTGGAGAAGGGGCAGAGCATGAAAACAGCTGGGTCGTTGTTACAAGTGCTCAGGAACAAAAGGGCCCCTGTGTCCCGCTGGGACCATGCCCCTCCCCCACCGACTGCGGGACATCTGAAGGGCAGCAGTGTTCCCGCCCCGCCCCCTCCGGCTTATCTGTTCCTTCCCCCTCCCGCATTTGGCCCTTTGGCCTGCCCTGCGTCTTTGTCTGCCTGAGGGTGAGGGCGGGATGGGTGGGGGGACTGGGACCGCTTGGGGCCTGTGGCCTGGGAAAGCAGCCTCTGTACTGAGGGCCAGCGCGAGGCCCTCCGCCTCCCCCACCAGCACTTCCAGTTCGGTGCCTGGTCCGGGCTGATCAAGGCTCCACGGACACGGCCCACTGGTCATTCACATGGAGAGGGACACGGCCGTCTGGGCCAACAGTGTGCTGCCGGTCTCCTTGGGCTAAGTACAGACCCGTGGTCACTAGTGCTGTGGAAATGTGGGTGCCAGGATTTCCCAGGAGCCCTGTTCATGGACCAGACCACCCCAAGCTTGGAGTTAAACGGCGGGGGTAGGGGTGGGGTGTGGGGGGTGGAGTGGGGGTGAGCTCCACGGTGGTGATGTGGGGGGCTGGTTGCTATGCATCTGCCTCACCATGGCCAAGTCCCCAAGTTGTGCATGTCTTTCCCTGGAAATAACTCCCCATTGTTTCCGTCTGCTGGAAGTTTTGCAAAGGTGTTCCAAGGGCAAGGAAGATTGGGAGGCTGGAAAGTCACAGCACCCACGCGGTCACCTCCCTGAGCAAAGGCAGGAACTCAGGTCGCCCACTGGGGACACTTGTCCTGTTGTCAGCGGAGGGCATTTAGCAGGTGGACACAGGGATACTCCACGTCCTGAGGTTGGTGGATTCGTGGCACAGTCTCTGGTGACAAGCCCTTGTCCTCCCCGCACTGGACCGTCACGTAAGTGGGAAGCTGCTTATAGCTATTGGACCCTAAAACCTGATTCTGTCTGACACATGAGACGTAACGAGTCCCCAAGAACGCGAGGGTGACATCAAGAGAATTCTGCCTGGTGTGTGGGAGCCGAGGAGGCTGTAATGGGCCCTCCGTGGTCCAGTTATTGGGCTTTAACAGTGTTGTTGAGGTGTGATTGACAGACAACTCACTGCGTGGGATGAAGACTCAACTAAGTGAGTCTGGATGTCTGTCTACACTTGCGGAGAAACCATCACGACGGTCAAGGAAGTGAACACAGCACCCTCTGTTAGGATCCCACCATTCGGAAGCTCTTCCTGCCAGACTCTCGATTGGTGTTCCTGTTGATGAAGTTGCTTGTTTTGTTTCGTTTTTGAACTTCATAAAGACACACAAAGGTCAGTTGAGTGGAAAGGAACGTGCAGATGAAATGAACTGTGAGTGGTTTGCAGAGAAGTCACCTCAGTGAGTGCCTGGAACTCTGTCCTCAGCGGCGGGGGGGGGGGGGGGGGGGAGATGTGCTGCCCAGGCGTGGCTGTCCCTCTGTCTGCAGCCTCCTCTTGTCGCCAAGCGTGTCCCCTGGTGGCCCACAGCTGGTAGCACTGTCTCCTGGTAAGTGCTTTGTCCACACCGCGTGCCAGGTGTGGTGAGCAGGTGGGATGCGTGTGGGCGGCAGGCACGCAGAGGCAGTGGCCAGGGGCCCAGAGAGCACCAGGCTCACAGACCCCGCGGGAGGAGAGGCCGAGCTGGGCCTGGACAGGAGGGAAGGACCGGCCGCGAGATGCCGGCGCGTCGGCTTGTTTTCCGTCTACCGCACTCTGTCCAGCTCTGTATTTGGTGTCCGGGGGGCCCAGACGACGCTTCCACCTGCAGCTGAAAGCCTGGAGATAGGGCAGCCGGACACAGGAGAGCCGTGGTGGCCCCTTTGTTTCAAAGTTCCGTAGGTGCAGCTGTGGGCCTCCTCAGACAGCGCGCGCCTCCTGTGCCTTGCCCCAGGCCTCTGCCTGTCAGGAGCCCGGCCTTGCCCCAGTGACATCAGCCATCCTCAGGCGTCACCTACAGCCTTGAGCGGGGGCACTGGGGTGAGGTCCCTTGTTGACTGGTCTCCATCACATCATGTTGACAGTCCCTTGACCACTGGCATGACTGTTAGAAAACACTCAGACTTGCTCTGGGTCGAGTGCCAGGCAGCGTGTGCCCACAGAGCATGTACACTTCATACCAAGGGCGCCCGAGCTGGGACCGTCATGAATGTTGTTTACAGGTGCGATCTTGAGGCTCCCGTAGGAGGTGACTTGTCCAAGTTTGCCCCGATCGGCCGTCAGCAGAGACCTGACTGGAGGTTGGGTTCTGAAGCCTGTTGTGCACACCCACTGGCAATACCGTCTGTGGAGTTCACACCTCTGTGAGCCATGCTGCCCTCTTTACGGGTGTCATCTCAATTCTAGGGCTGCTTACCAGGGCGGCAGAGAAACGCAAGCACTAGCAGACAGGCAGTAAGATTTATTGCGATCAATTGGCTTTGGGGTGTAGCGGCTGCCTAGGAGTTCTGGGAACAAGGCGCGCTGTGGGGAGGGGAGGCCGAGGGGGGAGGCAGGAGCTCTCAGGCTCACGGTGACGCTGCCCTCCACTGGAGAACTTTTTCAGGGGACACTTCCAAGGGATTCAAGCGGGCTTACCAGGTTGTCTAAGCCATAGTCATAAGAACAAGAAAACCAAAAGGCCCCTTAGTGTTTGAAAGTTGAACCTCGCTTTTCTAAATATCGAATGGGTCAGAGGGAATCGGAATGAAAATTCCCTACTTGGTCCACATCAGGGCTTGCAGAGAATGGTGCTGTGTCTGTGAAGAGCACGAGAATAAATCAGTCAGAGCTCTTTGTGCCCCCGCCCCACCTGGCAGGATTGCCCTGTGGTCCCACCCAGCGGTCCTTTGTGGCCTTGAGCCTAGGGACTCATTCTGGGACTCAGCTATGGAAATGTGGAAGCCGCACTCTATACTTGCAGTTATGATCGTGCCACAGGTCCAAAAATAACACAATTTCATGGTAAAAAATGACGACACAATAGCAGCTTCTTGATCTTAAGTTTTTAGAAATATTGATTCAGTATGTTTTCTTCCAAAAAGAAAAAAAAAAAGATGGACCCCAATTATTACAGATCACTGAGCACGTGCTCTGGGCAGGCACCACAGTGAGTTGTTCAGGTATTTCTCCCTTTTACACTTATCTACGATCTAGATATTATTAGTCACATTTTCTAGATGGTTAGATGGAAGCTCAGAAACATGTATAAGTCACACATGATTTTATAAGTGCCAGAAACCAAAATAGGGTCCCCAAATGACTCTCAATCCCTTGCTTAATCCATACCCGGTACTCCATGTATTTTCTTATTTCTGCTCTGCCTGGTCCGGAAACATAAGTACCAGGATTTTCTGGTATGGCATACCAGAATGAGTTCTGCCCACCTTTTCTACTGCTGGTGACTGTGACCATCAAGATGATTGTCTGGGTAGAAGATCTTACAATAAGTTACTCAAAGAACCCTAGGAATAGAAACAAATGATTTTTCTGATGTTAAAGTCACTGAGAGGAAACATCTTTTTTAATTGATTCATGTTCTAGTATCTTTGCTGTGTGCTGTTAAGACAGGTCTGAAATATAATAGTATTTAAAAGTAGTTAAGACCATTTCCATAACATGAGCAAATGCTAATAGTAAATGTTGCTAAAAGGTAACCATAGCTACTACTTATTTCCTAACCTTTGTAGTCTTTATATGTCAGCTATGATTTATATTAGTCAAAATTTGCAGGGCCGGCTGAGTGGCACGTTGGTTAAGAGCTGGCTTGGGACTCCAGCTCTGAGCAGCAGGGCCCCAGTTCAGATCCCACATGAGGGCCAGTGACACTGCGCCCTCTACAGCTAAGATGGTGAACAACAGCTCGACCTGGAGCTGGGCTGCTGAGTGTCACCTACTAAGGGGTAGACTGCAGCCCCTGTGGCAGTGGGTTGCCATGGGCTACTGTGTGTGGCCAGCAGCCAGCGTGAGCAGCCAGCAGCCATCCAATGGCCGGCGAGTGATCTGCCTCACCCGGGAAGAGCGCAATGATAATACCAACTTGGGCCAGTGAAGCGATGTCCTCCACAACTAGACTGAAGAACAAAAGGACAGCAACTTGTCTGTTCCCCTCCCCCAATTCCCCAATAAAATCTTAAAAAAAAAAAAATTGCAGGGTAGAACTTTAACAGTATGGGAACTTTAAGTGCTTAATGTTTAAATGAGTTTTGTGCCGTTGAGCTGTTTTGTATTCTATAAGCCACATGAAGGGGACTAGCGAGCTCTAAAATTCTGACTTTAAATAACGTCTAGATTCAGAGATGTGGGCACAAGGCAGGGGCCCAGCACCTGTGGACACGCCTGTTAACTGTGCAGACCTGGGAGCACGGGACATTCTCTAGTTGTCATTTCGGTGTCTTTGTATTCTTGTTAAAAATGCTTTTGTCTCACGTTTCTCCCTTAAGTAGTAACTATCACAACACTTTGTTTCCATTTTAAACGACAAAATAAATAAACCCCGCTGGACACAGAGGGCGGCGTTCGGCCGTTCTGCTTCTGCTGAGGAGCCAGCACCGCGCGCCCTCGGGGCTCCGTGCAAGGCGCCCTCGGCCGCGAGGACCCGGCGGACCCGGCCTCTTGCACCGCCCTCAGCTCCGCGAAGCTGTGGACTCCGGGCTGATGCTCACCGCGGAGGCGCCGGGGAGACGAGCGCTTCGGCTCGGAGGCGCGCTTTCAAAGGCGGCTCCGAAACGAGAAACCGTGCGTGTCCGAGCGCCCCGGACTCGGGGGGCTGCGGGCGGCTGACCTCGGAGCGGCCGGGAAGGCCCCGCCGCAGGGCCGCTTCGCCGGGGGGGACGGGGCGGATGCTCCGGGGATCGCCGACCCGGCTCCTCCGCCCGGATCTGCGCCGCGGGAGGGACGCGACCGGCGCCCCGGGCTGTGCGCCCCCCGCCCACGCGTGCGCGGCCAGGCGGGGCGTTGGGCTGGGGCTGGGGCTGGGGCTGGGGCCCCCCCCCTGCCCGCGGGCGGCCACGTGGCCTCTCAGGAATGCGCGGGCGCGGGGGTGGGGCGTGGCCGAGGGACGAGCAGGCTTCGCAGCCAATGGGCTCCTTGTACGGGCCGGGCCGGCCTATCACGAGGCGGGGGTGGGGCTTTCTCTCCGTGGGCGGGGCCGGAGCGCATCCCTGGGCGGCGGGCGCGGGGCGGGGAGAGGGGCGCTCGGAGGGACGGCGGCTGCGGTCCCGGCGGGGTGAGTGCAGGCCCCGGCGGCGGGGAGGAAGCGGGGGTCCCGGCCGGGCGAGCGCGGGCCCTGGGCAGCCCCCCAACCTCAGCGTGGCGCCCCCCTCTCCTGGCCACTGGGTCCGCGAGTAGCCCCCAACTTTAGCGGGGTGCCCCCTGCCCCCGGGCACAGACGGTGCAGGTAACCGGGCCGCGAGCAGGCCCCCACATTGAACGGGGTGCCCCATGTTCCCACCCCAGACAGTGCAGGTAACGAGGCCGCGAGCAGCCCCCCAGCTTCAGCGAGGCGGCCCCTGATCGCCCCGGCATGGCAGCGCTGGGGTTCGGTCAGGTCCTGGGAGCAGCCCCGCATTTCCAGTGGGGCGTCCTCGTCCCCCGGGGATAACGGTGTCGGGGCCGAGATTGCGAGGCGAGGCAGGAGTGAGCCGCAGGCACCCCCAGGCCGGGGCTGGAGCTGCAGGAGGAGCGAGTGGAGGTGTTTCTGAGGGGAGCAGCGATTTATATTTTCCTATAAAAGCAAAAGGCCTTGGCCCGCGTTAGGGTGAAGATAGCGGCTTAAAACCGTGCGGTTCCCTCGCCGGGATCCGCCTCTGCTGAGGAAACCGAAGCCGGTGTGTGGCCGCGGGCGCCCGGCTCCTCCGGGCTGTGGGACCTGCGGCGCTGCAGCGATCTGCACACACGCCTTGCGTGGCGTTTAATAGGATGTCAGTGTTCTGAGAAAGCGGCCGGCGTATTTGGTGGAATGTAATACTCATTTCCATGCTCATTAAGTCAAAGTGCAGTGGGCTTTTATTCTTTTCTCTAGTTGAGCCCCAACGTAAGTTAAGTAGCTGCCACTAGTCTGGATTTTGTGCAGAAGTTACTTAATTTCCCTCCAGATAGAACATTGCAAGAGATAACCTTTTCACTGTTCGTTTATTGCTTAAACATATATTTTGAACATCTTTGATAGGAAATAACTTTAATTAGAAAAGAAAGGTGAGATTTACTGTTCGTGTGGTTTAAAAATAGCATTTGCCCCCGAGCTATAACAGCATTTATTTGATTGGCCCTAGGATATGATTCAGTGGCCAGCGCCTGCAGTTCGGCACACAGCGACTTGATAGTCAGACTTCCATGTTTTCTTGTCAATAAGAAAAGTCATTGGTGTCAGGTGCTGCTTCAAAATTGTTTAGTGTCTCCAAAGGAGTAACAGACAATTAGGGAAGAGGTGAAATTCAGAACAGCTTTTTATCTTTAAAAGTTGAGCTTGACTTTCCAGTTTTACCAATTTCATCATCTTGACATTTTGCCGTTCACATGTTCTCCGCGGTGTTTTTGTGGTGAAGTTAGAAGGAAACTCTGGGAATTCTGGCCAGGAGCCTCTGTGGTGAGTCAGGTCATCTGCAGAGCTTCAGTTTACTCTCCAAATCGCTGGAACGTGGCTGTATGAAAATGTGTTTTGAGCTAAAATGTGCTGCACGAGCTAGAGCAAAATACACACGCTGCGATTGGGGCTTTTCTGCTGTGTGAGTGACAGTTTTGAAAACCTTTTTCGTGAAAAATTAGAGCCCCCTGTTGTGTGACCCCTTATTCTTTCATTGCACAAGGCCTGATAGAAAGGCCGCAAAAAAATTTGCAAATCTCGAGATATTCCGGGCATGCGAATGTTTAATTCACGTTATTCACAGTTTGCACAGGCAGAAAGGTAAGTGGAGTGACATCGTACAGGAGGGGAACGTGGGTGTTACACATTCATGCAATAGGGTTTCAGCCCTCAGCCCTCTGGAAGTGTAATTTGGAAAGAATGAGGGGAATTCCTGTCCAGGGCTTTGGGACGGGGCCAGCTCTTGGGGTGGCTGTGCACTGCCCATCTGACAGGTGGTGGGCCCTGCCTGGGAACAGGTAAGGCACAGGTGCAGCACTGGCAGAGGACCCTCTCTGCCCCTCCAGCCCCACCATCACACCCCTCATTCCAACCCCAGTTCAACCTTCCCAGAATTGCCAGGCCTAGAAGTTTGTTTCCACTTCTGTATTTGTTTTTGTGTGTGAATTCTCAAAATTTTGATGATAAACATGACCAGTCACCGGCATGAGTGTTATTTTTCTATTTCCTGTTCTTCTTCATGTCCTTAAAGTAATGCATACCTGCTAGTAGGAAGGGCGATTTGTGGGTTGTTGATGTTTTATATTTTTATTAAACCATGTTTGAAAGACTTAAAATATTAAACAAAAGGTTTTTTAGGTTAAAGCTTTTCTCTTCCGTGAACCACCTTTGATACTAGGAGTTACTTTTTAAAGAGTGTCAAGGCTGTCACGTGCTGAGAGGGAGACATGGAGAAGGCTGTGCTCACACTGGGGCGTCCTGTTCCTATGGAAACAAGCTGGTTCCGCCAGCGTCCCACGAGGGGCTTGTTACCTGGCAGCACGTTCTGGGCTCCAGAGTCTTGACTCTTGAAGTGGGGAATGTATGAAGAAAACAAAAGGAATGGCTGAGGATGCCTGAGCGGGCTCTGCCTGAACACTCCGGGTAGCCAGGCGTGAGGGTACGCGGGGTGCAGGCAGGGCTGAGGCGCGTTCCCGTTCTGATCGGGCTGCAGGCCTGTTGCCTGTCTGTGGGCACCGGACTCTTACACTGGGAAGTCATTATTTTCATTTTTTAAGAAAGCAGTGTGGACATTTGAACTCTAAGTCAAATACATATATGATTTTTGAACCTGGGCTCTGTCTCATTGGTTATATAATTAAGAGCTGACCGTACAGGAAAGGCCAAGGAATTACGTTTTGGTGGACGGACGTGTGCTGTGCATGCTTGCTGTTTTGTTCTATCCTTTGCCTTATTTCTCTGCCGGGAAAACAGAGGTGACTTCAGCCTGGTTTCTGATTTTAAGGAACATGAGAAAACTGACTTAAAATAGGAGTATTTTTAGTAATGTAGTGCTCATGCCCGTTTGAGTGATAGTTTCAAGCTGGGGGTGGGTCTTCGGAAGGGTGTAGTCAGTTTCCAGCACATGGAGTCGCTTGGCTGGACCCTGATGGGGTCAGGCTCGGCCGTCCTTCAGCCTAGCGTCCTCGTGGCCTGAAAGTGTAGGGCATGTGCTGGGCGGCCGGGGTGGGAGGCCTTGGGCCCGTGTAGACACAGCCAGGGAGTGGGGAGTTGATGGTGATCCCGTTCCCGAGGCCGCTACCTTTGCTCCTGAGCCTGAGCTCTGGCGGAAAGAATTCCGTGAGGCCTTTGACTGCCGTGCCTGCAGGTCTCAGCCTGGCCCTGCCAGCTGGACCAGGCAGCTGGGATGTGGCTGTGTGGGGAGGCGGCTTGGCCTCCCAGGATGGGGCTCAGCTCCTAGGCTGGCCAGCCCTCTTGGCAGCAGTGATAAGAAACTTGATTCATGTTTTGCTCTCGTGCTGACTCAGCAGGGTGGTAGGCAGCGCCCCCGGGGGCTTAGATCCACATGCCCAGTGCTGCCTGCTCCTCAGAGAAGCCTCTGCCAGCGTGACAGGCGTGGGTGCTCAGACTCAGCCAGCAGAAACGTTTCTACAGAGCCGCCTTGCAGAGCAACGCCCGCTCTCGAAGCTTCTGTCCTGTGTCGTGTAGAAGGTGTCACTTTATGGGAGAGCTGGCATCTGAGCCCAGGCCGGAAGGTTCTGAGGATGGCGTGGACACGCATGTCCAAGCCGGGTGCAGAGCCGGCCTCTGCCAGGTGCTGTCCCTCCCGGAGGAAGGACCCTTTAGACACACAGGGCTGGGCTCGCGTGATTTCACAGGAAGGGAGGGAAGGTGCGCAGTGGCCAGACACAGCTGTTTGCGACGTGGATCGCAGGCGCGTGGATCGCAGGCGAGCCTGTTTCTTGTAGCCGGAGGAGGCGGGGCTTGGACGGGGTCTCGTGTGGCTGTGGGAGGAGGGAGACGCCCACTGGAAAGCAGCCGCTGGGTGCCCACCTGGAATCGCGGGGGGTCTCCCGTTTCTGACGTCGTTGCTGGGGTGGCTCATGTCCTGTGGTGCCAAGACCGAGGCGGCGGGCACCTGTTTGCCGCACGAGCTGGCACCTGCGTCCTGGCTGTGGAAGGGCCCCGGGCACCCTCTCTCTGGAGCTCCGGACCAGGAAGCGCACGGGTTCAACAGTCACAGCATCATTTCCGGGGTCAGCTTCTCTCCTGCTGAAACGGGGTCAGTGTCATTTTCTCCTACATTTTTAAAATCCAGTTTTCGTACTTTGGAATCACTTAGGAACACCCTCTTTACAGATGGGGAAGTAAATGTGTGGTCATGTGACCAGCAGTGACAGGACACATCGGGAAATGGTTCCTGAACTTGACAGTGGTCAGTGACATCTACTGGGGGCCAAGACTGAGACCAGGATGAGGCAGTGACCTACACAGACAAGTCCGTGTCCTTGGGGCTCACACTCTGGTGTCCAGGGCAGATGGTCGCCAGGAGGGCAGATGGTGCTTAGAGGACAGTGAGAGCTGTGGGCAGATGGAACACAGGCTGTGCTGCAGGAGGTGCTGGCCGGCCGCGCGGGGGGCCAGGGAGGGTCTCCCTGGGAAGGTCCTATGTGAGCAAAGGCAGGAAGAAGGTGAGCGATGCCCGGGCAGGAGCACTCTGGGCAGCAGGGCAGCGCGTGCGAAGGCCCTGGGTAGGCAGGGGTGTGAGGCGTGTGTGGGAGCGAGCAGGCCCGTGGCTGGAGCGCTGCAGTGACGGAGACAGCGTGGGACCTGACCTCAGGAGGGAACAGACTGGCAGAAGCCACTGCAGGGCTGCGAGCAGAGCTGACGCTCCTTTCTCTTGGGCGCAGTCCTGGCTGCGGTGCTGAGAACAGACAGGTCACAAAGGGGCCAGGACAGAGGCCTGAAGGCCACTCTGGGATTTCGCAGTGACCCGGGCTGACGGGGTGGCAGAGTGGACCTGGTGGGCAGCCGGTGGCACAGAGGGACACAGGCAGCTCATCCCATTCGGGTTAGATTTTAAAGGTGGAGCTGACAAGTTTGCTGACGGGCCAGATACTGAGGAGACAAAGGAAGCATTGAGGACGACTCCTGTTTTGTTTTGTCCTGAGCAGGTGGAGCAGGGAGCGTTCTGGGCGGGAGCAGGTGCTCAGTTCAGATGTCCTGATGAGCTGGTGATGTTTTCTGTGTGTGAGAATGTTGAAGATCTACTCTCGCAGCAGCTTTCGTGTTTGCCACACAGTGTTGTCAGCTGT